TATAAATTTATAATTTTATATGATATTATCAAGTATAAATATAAAAAGAGTTAATTTGATTTTGACCAATTGACCGAGGTTATTGCTAATTTAAAATTACATATTTTTACTATATTTTAATTAGTTTATTGTTTTTTTAACAATTAATTGTGATATTTATAAATTTCCATTTATAAGATTATATTCATTTGTTAAAAAATAAATATTAATTATTTTATTAATTATCAATTATTTTTAACAATTACATAAAAATAAAAATTTAACAATTTAAATAGTCTTAACCAATTTAAAAGTCATTATAACCATTACCTGAACAATTTAATCCACATATTAGAGATGGGGCTAGATGGCCACGCCGATGCTGGGTCACTCCTTTACTGACCGGTGGTCTTGTTTTTCTCTAATCGGCTAAGAATATATGGTTGGCTTAGTTCTGAGGGGTGGAAGGAGCTATGGAAATTAGATAGGGTAGTTGTTTCTAGAATAGGTTGGATACAACAGGGCATGGAAAAGGTTATAGGAGAGGGGAATGAAACACTGTTTTGGCAAGATAAATGGTGTGGGGATGTAGCATTCAAAGAAAAATCTAATAGATTGTATAGATTGGCGGAGGATAAAGAGGTGTTAATTAAGGAAAAGGGGGAATGGAAGGAAGGGGAATGGTTTTGGAAGTGGAGATGGAGAAGAGAATTGATGGGAAGAGAAAACTCTATTCTGCAGGAACTCAATGTAATCTTGGAAAGCAAAAGGCTAATACAAGGACAGAAAGATCAGTGGAGATGGAAACATGAGACGAAGGGCAATTACTCCACAATCTCAACCTATAGAGCATTATCAAGGGAACTAGAGTCAAAGAAATATAAGATGCTTTGGAACAACAATGTGCCATTAAAAGTCTCAACCCTTGTTTGGAAAATTCTCCAAAACAGAATACCCACGAGAGATAATTTGATGAAAAGAGGAATAACCGAGACTGGAAATGATTTTGCTTGTGTATTTTGTAGCCACAATCCAGAAACTGTTACTCATTTGTTCTTTACCTGCGACATAAGTTGGAAGGTTTGGCAAGCTTGTTATGCATGGTAGGGCATCAAATCTGCATTAACAAAGGAAGGGTGGGGTCACCTACAACAACATAGAGGAATGTTCTCCAATGCCAAGTTGAGTATTTCATGGTATGTGATCTGGTTTATAGTCCTTTGGTCCATTTGGTTATGGAGAAATCAGCTAATCTTCAAAGAAGGGTCTGACTCTTTTGAAACTACAATCAACCAGATCAAGTTCCGATCTTTTACATGGCTAAAGGCTAAGCAAGTAAGAACAGAGGAAATAGGTGAAGTAGGAATATATGCTAGGTAGGACTTTGATATGAATTGTGAAAGTATAAGTAAGAGTTGTCTAATAAGGTGTAATGGGTTGAAATATTCTTTGTACTATTTTATATATTAATGATATTTTAATTGATAAAAAAAATAATTATTATTGTATAATTGTAAATTTGTGGTGGATTTATGAATCAAATAGAATCAAGTCCTTTCTTCTTATTTTGGAAATTTGTCTAAGGGTAAGATAGAAATGAGATGTAAAATATATGGAAAAAATAATTTATAGGTTGTCTTCTCAACTGTTTTTTTTAGAGAATGTATTTAAAATTTTATTTTTTAATTAATATTTTAAAAAATAACTATTAGATTAAAAATATTATTCATATAAATCATGCATATTAATTTTTAAATTACTCTAATAAATCTAATCACTATATTGATTACATAAAATTTAATACCGTTAAATATATATTAATAAATAGAGTTTATTGATTAAATAATTATAAATGTTAGATTAATATAAAAATTAACATGCATAACTTTCAAAAGTAAAACTTTTAATCTAATTATTATTTTTAAAAATATTACTTAGAATCTGAATTTTTATATATGTCTAAAAATGAAAATTAGTGCAGTACACTAACCCCAAATTATATTATAATCCTCATAATTATGCCCTTCTTGTCAAAGGCCCGTCTAGCTCAGTCGGTAGAGCGCAAGGCTCTTAACCTTGTGGTCGTGGGTTCGAGCCCCACGGTGGGCGACTTTCAACTCAAAATATTTTTGGAATTTTTACGAAGCCGACCTCCCAAGGTTATTATTCAGGGCCTTTTCAAGGCCTCAAAAAATCTCCATTGGCCCAAGTGTTCATCTTATAAGTTAAAACTTAAAAATCTTCCATGTGGCCCATACCCGATGCTTGTCTTAATGGGTTATAACTCATAATTTGAGACTCGTAGTCCATTATATTTTCTTTTGGGTCACCAAACCAAACACAGGCTAAAGGCCCAAAACAATGACACCTCAAAAAATAAAAAATAAAAATCCATTTGAGATAATAAAATAAAGCCCGCGTAGTGACAGTCACTACCTTCGGCATAAACCCTAGGGTTTTCTCTGAATTCCGATCCCAGAGGAAATCCCCAAACATCGCAACAATGTCGATGTCGAAGAGCTCCAAGATGCTTCAATTTATCAACTACAGGATGCGCGTCACCATCCAAGATGGACGCCAGCTCGTCGGCAAATTCATGGCCTTCGACCGCCACATGAACCTCGTACTCGGCGACTGCGAGGAGTTCCGTAAGCTACCTCCTGCCAAGGGCAAGAAGAACTCTAACATCAATGAGGAGCGTGAGGACCGTCGTACGCTTGGCCTTGTCCTCCTACGTGGTGAAGAGGTTATTTCCATGACAGTTGAGGGCCCTCCTCCCCCGGAGGAGTCTCGTGCCAGGGCTGTTTCTGCAACTGCTGTTCCTGGCCCGGGAATTGGCCGTGCTGCTGGTCGTGGTGTTCCCACTGCTCCTCTTGTTCAGGCCCAGCCTGGCCTTGCTGGCCCCGTTCGTGGTGTTGGTGGTCCTGCCCCGGGCATGATGCAGCCCCAAATTTCCCGTCCGCCTATGCCGCAGCTTTCAGCTCCTCCGATGACCTACCCTCCTGCTGCTGGGGCCCCTCCTGTGATCCGTCCTCCTGGGCAGTTGCCGCCTGGGGCATTCCCTGGCCAAGCACAGGCACCACAGATGCCTCGTGGTCCGCCACCTCAGGTGCCACCACCAGCATTTGGGGTGAGGCCGCCACAGCAATTTCCAGTACCACCACCGCAGTATGGACAGAGGCCGATGGTTCCACCTCCAGGAGCAATGATGAGAGGACCTCCTGCTCAACCTCCAAGGCCTGGAATGCCTGCTCCGCCTCCACCAAGGCCTGGGATGCCTCCTCCACCTGGTGGTGCTGTTCCTGTTTATGGACAGCCTCGTCCAGGGATGCCACCTCCTCCAAACCCTCAAAATCAGCAGCAAAATCAGCAGCAGTAATTTGGTATGGCTTATTTCAATCTTTTTGGGTTTCTGAGTACATTTCTGCTGTTTCCTAAAGATTAGTAGTGAATCTCTATAACTTTCTGTTTAAAAACTAATTATGTTGGTGTATAATTTGTGATGTCTTGATGCTTTTTATCTCGTTACTTTGTGTTGCTTATGAATTCGCATTAGGTTCATTAGCAATGTCGTTTTGCTGATTTTTTTGGTTGTGGTGTTGGGATCTGTCTTCAATATTCTTATTGGACAAGCTTCTGTAATTCATAACTATCCAGCTTAGCAATTGAAATTTTATTTGACATATATTTTGGATGGTAATACCCTTTTGTTGTGAAGTCACCTTGTTTATGGGAATATGTTTTAAATGATTTCTTATATTGTTAAGAATTATTGACTCCTAGGATGATCATCCTTGATATCTCTAAGTTGTCTTTCACTGGAATTTTTCAGATACTGCCTAGGAGTTATTAGTCTTCAGTCATTCTTTGTCTCTTTCCAGAAACTTATACTGTATTGGCTCCATTTAGCTTTTGCAGTAAATAACTACCTTGTTTAGAATGCATTTTCAATTATGAGAACTTGTTTATGAATGTTGAGAATCTGAGAAGTTTTTCACATTATTTTTTTTCCCTATTGAATAGGAGTAATTTAAAAAAGAGAAGAAATAAACATTTCTCATGAGGTTGGTGGGCATAAGGAGCAATATTGTTTGGCTACTTGAACCTTCTGAGTATTCATGTTAGCCTTTGCTTTCAGTTAGGTTGTCAGGTCCTATGGTCTGCATGCACACAGCAATCTCTTAATTAATTGCATGAAGTATTGCTATACCAGCTATGTATAATGTTAAAGCATGAGATATTTTCACTAATTATATGATTTTGAGATGTTCTGCTACTTAAATCAAACAAATTCGTTGATTACTTTTTTTACTCAATTGATCTGATTCTGATTGATATTGTAGACCTCAAAATCCGGAAGTTCTATTCTAGTTATGTTTTTAGACTTCAAATACAATTTTGGAACTGTTTTAAGTCAATTTTGTTAGTTTTATCTTGCATGTCAAGTCCTGCTGGGATTATGGCAATTGCAACTTCTTCCTCTTCTGGCTATATTTCTTTTCTGCTGTTCCAGATTTAGAATTAGTTCCACGTTACTCTCTTTAAACCTCAAAAAGAAGACTGATACAACCTAATCCAAATTAGCCATAAGTCCCATCACAGAAAAATAGTAGTATTGCCCACAGGTGGCATTTACAGCATTTTGGTGGCAACTATTCAACTCCAGAAAACCTTGGTTTCTTTATATAATCTCAACCCTCCCAATACCTCTTTACCAACCCATATTTTCCACTTTCTGTGACTTGCTGACCACAAAACTTATTAGTCTCTAGGAGCCTTGTCTGTTTAGTGTTCTACATAGGTACCTGTAGTAGGGGATCCCATGTGCCTGGACACTATCGTTTAGTTGTTTGCCTTGTTGAAAACTGGGGTCCTTATTCGGGTTCTTCCGAAATCATTGTTTGGGACATTGGTGTTTTATTGACTGGATTATCATGGCCTCTCATGATATTTTTTTTACCCAAACTGCCAAAGCTAAAGCATCTTGAAGATCATTGCATTATGTTTTGGTCTTTTTTTTATATGAATTTCTAAGTTAAAATGTGTGATTAAATTTAGTGACAGCAAGCATTTAATTTTAATGACTATATATGTGATGATTAACTTTTGTCACGCTTTCATGCATAATCATCCTTCATCAATAGGCAATGTCTTTGTTGAAAATGATACCATCCTATCATGACAATACTCCTTAATTATCTATGTGCACAATTGCTTCATGGTTCAGCTTTATTTCTTCCTTCATCAACTGAGTGCATGGGATCTAAGTTAAATTTGAGGAATTTACTGCCTAGAACTTTCCATGGATGAGATTTATGAAAATTAAAATTTGAATTCTGGTTTAAGGATATGATGTAGGGTAAGACTTGAATTAGGATATCATTTGTTTTGAAGCAGTTGTTGCTGATGGAATAGGTATATAGTTGCTAGAAATTCAAACTAAGAAAAAAGACAGTAATCATCTATGTTACTGCAGATTTTCTTAGGTTTTACACTTGAGTCCTGATAGCAATAAAAAGTAAACAATAGTTGTGTTTTAATAATTGATGTGTGTGCACTTGTATATTATTCTTGCAGTGTATGGCTTGTGCATCCCTTTTTTAGTTAATATGGTATATTTGATTTGATGATAAAAAAAATTTTAAAAAAAA